GTCGTGGCCACAACCACGCGGGCTCAAACCCGAGCGCGTCACCGCACTCAGTACACCCCCAGGAGCATGTTTCACCCACCAGCTCCCCCTCCCGTGCACCACAACGCCAAACCCGCAGGTGCCCGAACACCGGCCGCCGCCACGAGCTCGACTCCGGCAAGCTCGTTCCACCCCGCGCCTCCCGCGTGCCTCCCCTGGATGCGCGCGAGCAAGGGCAACCCTCTGGTGCCCTTGGCTTGGCCCAAAACCGCCCGTAGCGCCACCCCGGCGATCTTCCGCCACGGTTTTGGTCGCCGCCGGCAGAACTCCGGCGAAGCCGACGTGGTGCTGTCATTAGCCACTAATGACGCCCTAACTAACCCACCTAGCTCACTGACACATGGACCCCACTCCCTAATTAACTCCAGTTTTATTTCCTGTTTAGATTAGTGTTAATCTTGCGGACCCCACGTGTCAGTTTGACCTTGGCCAAGTCAGTGTTGACTGGTCCCACCTGTCATCCACCCAAACCAGCCCTGAGACACTGACGTGTGGGTCCCTGCCGTTAGGTTTGACCTGGACCTGGCGTGTTGACCTGCTGATGTCACACTGACGTCATGCTGACGTAGTAAATCATTTTCTGGATTTAAAATAATCAGAAAATTCTAGAAAATGTTCTAAACTCCTAAAAATCATAGTAAATCAATCGTAACTCCAAATGAGATAAATTATATATAAAAAATGATCAGAAAAATCCAATCTATCCATCTGTACCATTCTCATGCATGTTAAAACAATTTAACCTTGCTGTTTAGGTGACACAAGTTAATGCACTAATATGACCTCTTAAAATGGGTTTGCATTTGAATCTTTGGTTCAAATGGACTCATCTCAATCTGTTCTAACTTGCATTAGCCCAAAACACATTCATATTGCCATGTCATAGCATGCATCATATTGTGCATTGCATTGATCGTGTTTCTTCTCTATTTGCCGGTGTTGTTCCCCCTCGGTAGACGTTGTACCGACGTTGTGATCGTTGACACTGATGAAGACTCAATGCTATCTTCAGAAGTGCGAGGCAAGCAAAACCCCCTTGTTCATTCCGATACAATCTCACTCTCTCGCTCCTGCTCTCCTTTACTGCATTAGGACAACAACGATTCATCTGTTACTTGCTGCGGTAGCTGAACCCCTTTATCCTCTGCATGACCTGTCATTGCCACAGTAAATAGATGAAACCCACTAGCATGAGTAGGAGTTGTTTGAGCCCTGATGTGCCTACTCATACATGCTTGTTTGTCATGCCTGCTACTGCTTAGAGTTGAGTCAGGTCTGATTCATCGAGGGTGAATCAGAGGTGTGTGAACATGTCCTACTGTGTGTGAGCTAAGTGTGTGAACACGATTTGGTAAAGGTAGTGGTGAGAGGCCATGTAGGAGTACATGGTGGGTTGTCTCATTGCAGCCGTCCTCAGGAACTGAGTTCTGTGTTTGTGATCCATGAAACAGTTACTACCACACATTGGGTTCGCCTCTCGGCTTATTAATCGCCTTATTAATCGCCTCGATCTCTCTCCAGGAGTTGCAACTAGTTTCTGGTGTTTGTAGGATATGTGTTGGAGGCCGTGCGTAGCGCTGACCTTAGGGGTGGGCTATGATGCGGTAGATACACCGTGGCCCGGTGTACCGAGCGCCCGTTTGGTGTCTCGGGAACCCTGCACACATCGTTAGGGGCCGTGAGCGACACCCCGGCCGGATCTCCTTGCGGATGGAACCCGAATAGGCGCTAAACCTGGACTAGAGACTTGTGTGGTTAGTCAGGTCGTGGCCGACTCCCTCGCCAGGCTTCCGCTTGAAGGTTGCCAAGATACACAACGTGTACATGGTGGTAAGTGGCGAGAGCGTGTGTGAATAAGTACGCCCCTGCAGGGTTAACATCATCTATTCGAATAGCCGTGTCCACGGTAAAGGACTTCTGGGTTGCCTATAACAATTCATAGACAAGTGAAAGTGGATACTCTAAAATACGCAAGATAAGCGTGAGTGCTATGGATGGCGTTCTCGTAGGGAGACGGGAGCGGATCCATAGTGGTGTATTGATATGGTGAATATGTGGACTCGTGTGCGCCACCTCAAAAGAGTTACTTCCAGTCGTAGTTCAGGATAGCCACCGAGTCAAAGCTGGCTTGCTGAAGTTAAACCCCACCACCCATTTGTTGATAATGATGCATATGTAGTTAGTTCTGATGTAAGTCTTGCTGAGTACAATTGTACTCACGTTTGCCTATTTTATGTTTTTGCAGAGAGACTTCAGTCTCACTAGTAGTTCCGCTGGACTTCGACCTTTAGCTTGTTACCTCAGCTACAATCTTGTGCCATCGGCAGGATCTAGTAGATAGTCAGGCTTCTCAGCCTTTTTCATTTGTAGATGTCTGTACTCAGACATTTTAAGCTTCCGCTTGTGTTTGACTTGTATGCTCTGAATGCTGGGTCGAGAGACCCATGTTTGTAATATCTCGCTCCTCGAAGCCTAATGAATAAATACTTGAGTCGTAGAGTTATATTGTGATGCCATGTTGTATTTACACATATCGAGCATATTGTGTGTATGTTTGAAATGCTTGGTATGTGTGGGATCCGACAATCTAGTTGTTTATCCTTGGCAGCCTCTCTTATGGGGAAATGTAGTCTAGTGCTTCCTTGAGCCATAGTAGTCCGCTACAGCCCGGTTCACCGGAGCCCTGCTAGCCCAGCACTACTGCTCAGGACACTTGACTGGCCGGCATGTGTTTCACTTTGTTCATGTGTCTGTCCCTTCGGGGAAATGTCACGCGGTGACATCCGGAGTCCTGCCTAGTCTGCTACAGCCCGGGTTCCCGGAGTCCTGTTAGCCCAGTGCTACAGCCCGGATTCACACGCTGCTGACCGATATGCTCGATGTGATTCATGTATGGCTGTCCCCATGGGTTAGCGCCGCTTTGGGTTCACGACTAGCCATGTCGGCCCGGGTTCTCTGTCATATGGATGCTAGCGACACTATCATATACGTGAGCCAAAAGGCACAAACGGTCCCGGGCCATGGTAAGGCGACACCCGTGGGAATACCGTGCGTGAGGCCGCAAAGTGATATGAGGTGTTACCGGCTAGATCAATTTGACTTGAAATCGGGGTCCTGACACAAATAAAATATAAATGGGATGGCCCAATGGCTACATCGCAGGGGAAAACGCTACGGCGAGACAGGAAAAACTTGGGAGCAACTAATTAAGGAGCCCCGCAAGGGTCAGTTTTGGTGGGGCTGAGAGTGCGGCAGTGATGCGCTTTCGGCCATCGCCAAGTATCACGTGCTGGGCGCTTCCTCTGTATTTTTTTATGTTTCTATATGTATTTTTGGGTTTTAGATGATCTTTTCCTTTTTTTGGCTTTCCAGTATTTGGCCAGTTTTTCTTAGGTTTGGACAAAAAAATCAAAAAGAAAATCACACCAAATACATGTTTTCTTTTTTTCATCCGCGAGAGGCACAAATTTACTCTCATGGAGACACTGATTAACTCCCGCGAGTTGTGCCTCTCGAAAAAGGATAATGAACACGTTTTTTCGGCGAAAGACACATATTTACTTCTCGTGGAGGCACTGATTTGCTTCCGCAAGAGGCATGGTTGTGCCTATCGTCAAAAAGAAAAAAAATGCATTTTTTCCTTCCACGAGAGACACAAATTTGCTTCTGCGGGAGGCACAGTTGTGCCTCTCGAAAAAGGAAAACAAATGTATTTACTTTTTGCTTTAGCAAGAGGCAAATATTTACTTCTCGAGAAGGCACAAATTTGCTTTTGCAAGTGGCATAGATGTGGCTCTTGTAAAAGGAAAAATAAGTGTGTTTTATTTTTTTCTTCTGCGAGAGGCACATATTTGCTTCTCTTGGAGACACAAATTTCTTTCCCGTGAAGCGCGGTCGTGCCTCTTCGGAAAAGAAAAAAAAAGTGGAAACAAGGCGTTCTTCCGGCTCAGTTTTTTCGTCCTCTTTGTTTTTTCAAAAAAAAGTTCAGTGAAACCTATCAACATGGGATATGTTTTCGAAGATCTCGGCGCGAGGGATCCAACAATGAAAACGGCTCGGGATTTGAACGTAGGGCTTAAGAGATAAAACATTTTGAATAAATGAATCTAGGAAACGGGAAAACTCCCAAGTTGCGACATGCGGTGCGCCATTTATCACAATCTAAAATGATGGGAGTGATATTTGTAAAGAATACTCCTTAACTATTGGTTTTAAAATAACTCTTGCGTGAAGCGAGATACAGTGGCCGCGTTCCTGGGAGTCGCTATAACCCCTCGGTACAGCACGGCCCAATAATGTTATGTACAGCTCTCCCGCTAGAGGGCAGAAAATTACTTGCTCCGTCCAAATAATTCGATTTATTGTTACGTCAGATTTACTTGTGATTTCTGAAATGGCAGGCTTTAATTGGATGAAGGGTGTGGATGGGCCCCAACACGGGTGAAAATCACCGGGGCGGAGGGGGGGGGGGGTGAAAAGGATTTACGAAAGGATCTGTAGCAGCCCCGTAAAAAGCTGTACATGTAGTATTCTTGTAATTAATATCGCAGGAGTATGTAGTAACTGATTTGAATGAGGTTTTTAATTAATATCGCCAGTTAAATACATTCAAATATTCATGTAGCACACATTTTCAAATCTCATAAAAAAATTGCAACTGATTCAACACAGCATCGCGCTTAGTTAGTACAGTATGTTTGAGATGTTTTGTACTTCGGGCGATCATTTTTAGAAAAAAATATATATCAAAATGATATTAACACAACGTCGATGGATGTTAATTAGCAGCACGTTGATCGGCAAGCAATCGAACAACAAAAGCCGGCTCGGTTTACAATTAAGAAGGGAGAGTTGAGTCCTACTCGGATTCAGTTCAGGACAAAGTAGATATATGCTGGCCGGTGCCTCCTGCGGCTCCTGCCGGGTGCTCGATCGATCGGCAACGAGGCGAGGTGAGCAACATGGCTTCACCGTTGAGCAGGATGCTGCCACTGGCGGCTGCGGCGATGGAGTGCCGGCTGAGCGGACGACTGGGTACCGAGCCGCGAGATATGAGCCTCAGCCCGAGCAAAGGGTACTACAGCCGCGTGCGTCTGCACGGCGACCTGGTGGTGAGCTACTGGCTGCGCGCGGTGGGAGGCGCCGTGAGACCCACGCTCCAGCACGAGGAGGCGGCTCCACGGAGATTCGACCACAAGTTCCCGCTCCTCAATGGCCTCAACGCCGACCACCACTCGGCCTGCTGCGACGCCATCCGCGAGGTGCTGCTGCGGGCGCGGACGCCGCTCGGACTCGACGCCGGCAGCTGGGACGACTCGCTGGCTGACCACCTGGCCACGCTGACCGTGGATGCTGTCCGTCGAGAGCGCGTGGCCGGCGACGGCGGCGAGCACCGTGGAGTCCCCCCGCGCTTCGACGTCGACCTGGCTCTCACCATCGTAGCGGAATTCGTCTACAGCGAGCCCAAGGCGCTGCTCCTCGCCTGCGACAAGGCTGCTGCGGCAACGACGACGAGGGCTCCACCATGCCGGGCTGGAGATGCCGAGTGTCGTGTGTGCGTGGAGGCTAAAGAAGACACCATGGCGAGGCTGCCGTGCTCGCACTCCTTCCACCGCGGCTGCATCCTGCCCTGGTTCGACAAGGTGGCCACATGCCCAATGTGTGGCCATGACGTGGCCAAGTACCTTGCTGCGGCCACCAACACCCCAATTGGAAAGTTCCCTGCAGCTCTATTCGGACCCTGATGGATTCATGCAGCTTGCGTGCTTGCGGTGTATTTGTGCCTTAAATCTTGTTCTAGTTGATATTTACTCACTTTTTGAATGATGAGATATATGGGGCAAAAAGTCTAATATCACTTCCCCCTGCTTCTTTTTACTCCGCACAAAAAATTTAGTCTGAAGTCAAACTTTCTTAAAATTTGACCAAATTTATATGAAAAACTGTTAAGATCTACTCCCTCTGTCCCATAAAGTAAGACATTTTTTCACACTAGTGCACTGTCAAAAATGTCTTACATTATGAAATTGAGAAAGTACAAATTATACAATATAATAATTTCATAATGCATCTAATGATATTGGTTTTGTATTATGAATGTTGATGATTTTTCTTATAAAGTCGGTCAAACTTTGCAAAGTTTAACTTTAGACAAATCTTATACGTGAGTAAAAATAAATGAAGGGAGTACTTCTTTCAGATTAGCTATTCTTAATTGACCAAGAGTTAAGGTGCCTCCTAAAGCGTAAGCCTGCTGATGCCAACTACTCCTTCCTGAGCCGTATGTAGTCCATATTAAAGTCTCTAAAAAGAATTATATTTAAAAACGAAGGGAGTAGTTTTAAACCGCCTCAGGCACTGTCGGATGAAAGGAACCGCGGCCATCCGATTAAGTTGTGCGTGTAGCACATGTGGACGTCGAGTTGCCATGAAGCAAAACCCCCGCATACAGACCGCATCTCGCCTAGGGCCGAGAATCACGCGCACCCCTTGCATCTACGGTGACGGTCACCGGAGACGAGACCACCGGCCACGCAACACCCTGAAAAAACTCAAACATGGCGATGGGTGCCCGTTACCCGCAAACCCGAGGGGTAAAAAACCCTATTAGGGTAAGGGTTTGGGAAAGTGAAATATCCATGGGTTTGTAAATGGTAAAATAATCTGCCCATCGGGTAAGCCGTGTATGGGTATGGGAAGGAAATACCATACATGTGTACCCGCCTACCCGCATATTAGTACAACTTATAGGTAGGTCCCCTATGGCAAAATAATCATCGCTAACTCAAGACGAAGCAATTCACAGAGAAGATGCAATCCCAGCCCCCAGCAGGCCTGGTTGCCGCAGCCCCCCAGCAGACCAGGCAGCAGCGTACCAGCAGATCAGGTCGCCGCGCACTAAAAAATTAAATGAAGCCATCGGCGTCGCCCCCCTAGCAGATCAGGCTGCCGGTGACGCCCTCCCGCAGATCAGGCCGCCGCACACAAGCAGATCAGGCCACAGCCGCCGCAGGAACGGGTCCTAGGAACGCCCCGGCTGGTCAGGCCATCGTCCTCCAGTCGCCCGGCGCCGGACCTGCTCCTCTTCAGATCGAGAGAGGGAGATACGAGAGAGAGGTGAGACGCAAGATGGAGTGAGGGGTTAGAGCGAGACCCAGACCGTTTTCCCGTGCTTCCTCCGATTTGGAGGTATCGGCGCATTTCGGATATGGGCCGAATATTCCCTCGGTGGTAACGACTTGGTTCCTGCTCCGCTTACGTACCAAACATAGGAACTAGCACTAGTAGAAAACAGGGCTTTCGTTCGGGCCTGGCCAGCCCATTAGTCCCGGTTCAGTCACAAACCGGGACCCATGAGGGAATTCGTCCCGGTTCGTGAGCCCAGGGGGCCGGCCGGGGCCTCGTGGGCATTGGTCCCGGTTCGTATGGACCCATTTGATCCGGTTCCTGGCACGAAGCGGGATCAATGGTCCTCGCTCCTAGCCCACAACTATTGGTCCCTGTTCGTTGCTTGAACCGGGACAGAAGGCTGGGGTTTAGTTCCGGTTTCTACCACGAACCGGGACAAATGAGTTGCCTATATATACCCCATCGCCACAACAGAGCACTCCACAGTGCTCTGTTTTTTCTGGCCGGCGAGGGGAGGGCATTTGGGTGCTCTAGCTCACCTCCTATGCACATGAGGTGTTCAATGAAATGTTCGAGCCGCGCTAGTTAATCTTTCTCCTCTCGAAACTCGACCTCCGAGCTCCATTTTCCCCGAGATTTGTCTAGGTTTAGCGGTCTGTCACGTCATGTCCCCATCTTCACCGCCGTCGATCGCCCGCGCCGATCTCGTCGCCGGCAGCACCGTGATGCAATATAATAATTTCATAATGCATGATATTGGTTTTGTATTATGAGTTTTGATAATTTTTCTTATAAAGTCGGTCAAACTTTGCAAAGTTTGACTTCAGACAAATCTTATACGTGAAGTAAAAATAAATAAAGGGAGCACTTCTTTTGGATTAGCTATGTTTAATTGACCAAGAGTTAAGGTGCCTCCTAAGGCGTAAGCCAGCTGATGCGAACTACTCCTTCCTGAGCCGTATGTAGTCCATATTAAAGTCTCTAAAATAGACTTATATTTAAAAATGAAGGGAGTACTTTTAAACCGCCTCACGCACTATCGGATGAAAAGCCGTGGGATGGGTCTGTCCCATGCCATTCTTGTTGGTGACTGAAACCAAACACACTCTAATAAGGGAACACCCTAGCCTAACCGAGCCGCACACCCCGCACACGAAATCCCCTACCCTCACCCTCCTATTGCTCAGTCACACTCACAAACTCCATCTCCCCATCTCGCCTGAGATGCAACCCTAGGTAGTGGCTGCCACCGCTGCCTGTAGCACTGGAGCGACGTAGGCAGGCCATCTCCTCCCCACGACATCGTGCCTCCATGGCTCCACGCGACGCACTCACTGTCGTCACCCCGTCTCCACCGCAAAGACGGCTGGAGCTCCTCCCAGTGATGCTCCATGCTGTTGGGGAACACGGTAATTTCAAAAAATTTCCTACGCACATGCAAGATCATAGTGATGCATAGCAACGAGAGGGGAGAGTGTTGTTGGGTTCTATGGTAGGTTGCGTGGACTGCAAATTAAAATTTTCTACGCGCAGAACATCCAGGAACATGCTACGGGAATGGATCATAGATCGGTACCACTAGACGTGCAGTGCCGTGGAGTGGAAGTAGAGTTGAGGCAGCGCGTTCCCGGAGTCGCCTCGCGTTCCCGGAGTCGTCTCCTTGTTGCCGGTCTCCCACGTAGCCGATCGGATCCCGCAAACAGGTTCGCCGGAGCGGTGCAAGTTCACCGCCTATAACGGTATCCGCGCGTGTAGGAGGAACGTCGTGCGGTGGACTGCTAGGTCTGAACACACAATCGGTGGCGAGTGGAGGTGGCTATTCGCAACACATGCAAACCCTAGTGACAGCACCGAAGCGATCAACCGCATAAGTGTGCCGCACCTCCACTTTATATAGGCGTCCGTCGCGGGCTCAAAATTTGGGCCTCGCACAGACCCTAAAGCCCACAAATCTACTCGGCCACAATCCGAATACAGCTCAGATCACATCCGACCAATGTCCTCGGATCCGACCTCATAGTTTCCTTCCCTTAAGCGCGCGACCTCTTAGGTTCAAGTCGGCTTGGTCGCAGTTCGTATCACCTCCGAACTGCACGGTTGGTAGCAGCCTCTAGCAAGGCATGCCAAACACCAAGCAGACTATGAAGTTGGTTAGGCGAACCTGTATAACATGTCACACTTATGTTCCCTTTGCCACACGATATATATATGTTGTCGGGCTCAAGGTGAGATTGTCATCCTTGTGCTAGCCCGACCTCTTTCTCGTTCCAGTGATGCCGACCACTATCCGGATTATCTCATAATCCTTGTCATATGGCCATGCTTATCCTGGACGGATCACACGAGGGGCCTAGAGTATATCTATTCTGATCGGAGGGGCAAATCTCATCTTGCTCAACCACGTCTCGTAGCATGGGTCTGGACAAGCCCGAAACCTACCTTTGTAATTACCCAGTCATGGAGTAGCGTTTGGTCGGCCCAAAGAAGGTTTTTCACCATCCCGAGCACATGCGTCAGCTCAGGTCTTAGGACATAGAACGTATGTTGTACTAGAGACTCACAGATGACATATCGCTGCATCTCATAGTTGGGTCGATCCGAGTCGGACCTTATCTCGACTCGGATTCGACTATGTTGAATCCGACTAGGTCCTTCCGAGTCCATATTATCCGGTTAGCATCCAATGCTCCATGGCTAGTGAGACCAAGCCATCGACCATGTCATATGCTAGTCTAGTCGGCTGCGCGTCCACACAACCCTTTCGACTAGGGACCTTTTAGGACAGTCATCATACAACGCATAGTCCCACAAACAAGTCACGTACTTGCTAATACACATCATTGATAATGTCCAAGGACTATCTTTATTCATAAACACATAGGAAATATCATCATACATGATTGCCTCTAGGGCATATCTCCAACAGTCTCCCACTTGCACTAGAGTCAATCAAATAGACATCAAATGCCCATAGCTCTAACGTGCCCCTCATGCTTGGGTTGTGGAAGCGGCTTAGTCAATGGATCTGCAACATTTGCATCCATGTCAATTTTGCATATGTCTACATCACTATTCTTTACGATCTTTCGTATCAGGTGATATTTCCGATCTATGTGTCTGACCTTGTGGTGATTCCTCGGCTCCTTGGTGTGACGCCCGGATACTTAAGCTACAGTAATCCCCTCCTAATGATGCCATGTCATCATATTACTATTGCTAATCCTCACTTGATCCAAATCTCTATTCATTTTCAAATTCAAATTAAAGTCCAAACATCATAGTTCGCAAACACTAAATCTAAAATGTTCAAATGGTGGCAAATAATCCGTGGTTATTTGTCATATTGAAACCTATGTTTTATAAAGTATTTAAATGCCCTTTAATGAATAAAACAAGGGCCAGAACAATTATATAAATGCTTTTGATTTGTATACATATAAAAAACTCTAAACTAATTTATTTTAGTGCCAAAATAATTGTGGTAGTGGTCTAACTATTAACACTAATTTAGGGCTAGTGTTATAGTTTATAAAGCCTAAAAATAAATAAAATTATGCAAACATAATCTTCTTTTTTAAGAAGAAAAGGAAAAGACCCCCTCACCTGGGCCAAACGG